ATGTTAAGTTTAGGGAAAGAAAAGACAAAACTTCAAGCAACTTGAACTACTATACTTCCATTTTAAAAACATTCCTTTAGTTTTTTTCCCCCCAATGGAGTTTTTCTATCAATCTATATTTATGCAAGTTGGATTTAAAAATCAGTCATCAAAAGGAATTAGTATGCCTAGATAAGGAAAGATTTTACTCTTTGAGTCTCAGAAAAAATAAATAAAAACCATACAGATAATGAGAAATATTTAGTTCAAAAAAATCTCTCAACAAATCTGAACTACAAGGTAAAAGTTTAAGTTCTAAATTTGAAATAAAGAAACAAAATTAAATGAGCATTTCCTTTTAAGTGCTTTGTTTTGTTTTCTAGGAAGAAATTATTATTACCAGTTAAAAAAAGGAAATTTTCTAAAATGAAAAATTTTAGTACTATAGTTAACCTCTTTCATTTTGACCTTTTTGTAACCAAAGAAAGCCTTTTCAGTGTAAAATATCAGTTTGCTTTTGAGACTTAAAAGAATCTGAGCTCCACCTGCTGACTAAACATAAGCACTTAACATTTTGCTTTTAGTTATGTCTTGACCTAAGTACGATGGCTGGCTTTACATACAAAGAGAAGACTAATGAAGAAGCATTTGTTGCTTTAATCCAGGTGAATATGTGTTAATACCAAACCAAATATAGTAATTAGGCTCTGAAATAGAAAATGTATAGTCCATACCCATAGACAGCTAATCTAAAACAATTTAAAATTTAGCATTTCTTCACTATAGTATAATATGAACTTTTTAGCATTAAAGATAATAAAGATGCAAATATGTCCAACCGGTTTTTAATAATTGATCAATTCCTGGTGTTGACTTTAAAGGGACTGTGTTATTGCTGAATAAAAACTACAGAGGCTCCTCAACTTATGATGGGGTTACGTCCCAATAAACCCACCATAAGTTGAAAATATCCTAAGTCGAAAATGCATTTACACACACCTAACCTACCAACTATCATAGCTTAGCTTAGTCTACCTTAAACGTGCTCAGAGCACTTACATTAGCTTATAGTTGGGCAAATTAGCTAACATGAAGCCTATTATATAATGCCCAGTATCACTAGAGAGTATCCTACCACATAACACTATCACAGGAAAAGTTCAAAATTCAAAAATCAAAGTACAGTTTCTAATGAAAGTGTATCGCTTTTACACCATTGTAAAGTTGAAAAATCCTAAAGTCAAACCATTGGAAGTTTGGAACCATCTGAATAGGTACATAATATGTGTTCTTTTGAGTGGGGGAAAAATGACCATCTATTTGATTTTGTGACATGCAATGGGGCTTCTTTTCCTTTTAGAAAATACTAACTCCAACATAAACTCTATAATAACTGAAGTATTTCTAAACCAACCAACCAACCAACCAACCGACCGACTGACCAACCAACCAACCAACCTCAACATAACACAAAATGAATAAAGAATCCTAAGCAGCCAAAGATGTGTTTGTGTGCTTAAATGTAAAAAGTTAATATTTCTTAGAAAATTCATTTCTATAGAACAGCTTTTTCCCTGACAGTGATAAATANACACACAATGTGATATATAGATGATGTATTACAGAGTTGTACACTTGAAACCTATGTAACTTTACTAACCATTTTCACCCCAATAAACTTTAATTACAAAAAAATTAATGTCTTGAATAGAAAGACCACAAGGAAGACTAAATACAAAGCCTTATGGGACCTTTGAAACAGTGCCAAATTAAAAACTATGTAATAATTAAATGCATAGTAGTAGCATAGGAAGAGTTATCATTAATTTCCAACACAATTATAACAAGTTTTAAATGATTCATCTAAATTTCAAAAGTCAAGTCATGAAACATATACTCTTTACATTATACCTTTCTTCCATGAATAAAGCCTTTTCTCCAAATGATAGTTTTCCTGGTCCGTGGTCTGTATGCTCTATGTACTTTCAGCCGTTAAACAAATTCAGTAGCAGATAATTATTTCATATGTATTAAATGGGTAAAGGAAATTACCTGATAAACAATTTCTATCTTAAATATCTCAAAGGCCTTAAAGAATAAACCAAATATTTTTTCCTTCCTACTATATAACAATTCCTTATTGGTCTATCTGTCTATCTATCAATCAATCAATCAATCAATCAATCAATCAGGTAAGGCTTCGTATATAGCACTCCAGATACATGATTTATTAACTAATAATTGACAGCTTGTCATGTGCCAGATACTCTTTTAAATGTTTTTACATGTTTTAACTTATTTAACTCTCAAAACATCTCTTTAAAAAGTATGTAATCACTAATGGAAATGTTCTACCTCCTACTTTATTATAAAGGTTAGTACTTTGCTCCTTGCAATATCCTCCTGGTCCAAGTTAGAATCGGAGGAGACCATATACCTGTTTCAAAACTGACATCGTTGTATAAAATTTTGAAGCATCTCTTGGAATTACTAAAAGCTTGTGGCACTTCTCTACATACTATATACATTCTAAGTAATGGAAATTTTGAGGCTTGAAGGGAATTATAGTTTGGAAGGAATAAATCTTATCTACAGAATAGGGATGGTATTTGAGCTCAAGTTGGATAACAATATCAAATTATGACTAAAAAATAATGTGCATGATTTTTCTCATGTAGTTTACCAGTTCTTTTAAAGGCAAT